CAGTCTCCCTTTATGGAAGGTTGGAGGTGTTATGTTCAATAAATTGTTTGACTTTTTGCTTTTTCAATTAAATGTCGCAATTGTTTTTGTATGCACGTTTCTTTCGATTGGTGCGCCTTTACTTCCCTTCTCTAACTTGCTAAAATATATGTAGATTAAGGATAAATGATATAACAAGATGTATTGCCTACCCTCCTATGACTAGACGAAGACCTGTATGTTCCGAAAGAAATGAAAATCTATTTATATTCGTCTCATTTGTCTTGTTAATTCTCGTCTCAGTTTCTGTCAGGGTCGAAGTCTTAACTAAAGCGATATAATTCATTATCCCTTAAGTAGCTTTCGATACCGCCCGCCGCCTGCTCCATTTGGATCCACGAATAATGTAAGGAATTACAGATGAGATTACTAATGGGTCACAACCGAGCACAACTGGACACTGATTGCGTTTTATATATTTTATATAAAGATATTTCGCTACAGTGTTTATGCACTTAGTGTGGATTAACAGTTATTCTGATAATGTCACGAACATAATCTTTCCGTAATGGCTTGTAGGCTGTAGGTTTATTAATTTTGGTAAAAACAATATCACACTAATAACGTGGTGTTATCAAAATGTAATGGTACAGTTCTATCTGCTCGATTTTGGACGGTGGCCAGGTTTGTATACAATTTGATTGAAGGGTCTCTGAACTCGGGGTGTGGGCGAGCGTTTATTGTACCGGCGGGGGATAAAGCGCTTCGAACAGTCAATACGGGTACACTCGCTGACAATCACGTTTATGTCAACACACAACGGGCTGCCACTTAATTCTACAATATAATGAATTTAACAACATTTCATTTTATCATTTACATAGGTGTGAAACGTGCTTTAAATGTTTTACTAGACACGAGCAGTTTGATATAAAGCTTAATGCGGTTATTTTAAATTAATATGTTGAGACCATTATATATTATATCGAATGTATGATGTAAATGAATAACTGTATCTATTTAAATAGAGTAAAGAGCGATCGTCTCGGCTAAAGGTAGCGACTAGAGACGTGATATGGTGGAGTAAACTCTACTCATATAATCTGGTACTTGTCAGTTTTCTTCAATATTTTCGTATAACCGTTGTTCGTAATGGTCTGTGTATAAAAAGCGTTGGGAAGGTCAGTTGCCGGCGTGGCTTCGTAAGCGGTATTTTTAGAATGTTGACGATGCTAATATCCTTATATTTTTTTCTCTCATGTCAACCGAGTTTCGGAACAAGGCGACGTGTTGGAGTCTGCACCGTTGAATGATCGAATCACTTCAACACTCGTTACAGCATGCATTTAGATAGTATGAGAACTACGGAGACAAATATAAACTAATTAATATGTAACTCATATATTATATGTCCTATTAAAATATATACGTAAAATTTAACATAAAATCCTTAAGCAAATACATTGTTTTCTACACGAGCTATTAATTATTTGATTATACTCTTGTTTTGTTGGACTTTTTAAATTTTGTATCTCTTTGTCCTTACGTGTCTCAAGTTCATTAGCTCTTTTCTGTTTTGGTAAATATATTTTTTCGTTAAATGTTGTTATTTTGACTTTAAATAAAAAACAGTATACATCACTTGTTTCTCTTTTCCATACTCGAGTCATAAAATAGTTACTTAATTGATCGTTTGTTGTATTTTGAAAGAAATTTATTCACTGTAACGTGGATATGTCTTGTTGGCATTTCTTCTTTGTGTTAATGCCTTTTTGTGTTAATTTTGTGTAAATACTTTCGTCTTCTCTGTTGCTGAATAAAATAAAAGTTATCGCTTTGTATAATATAGTTCTAACTCATTTTAGATCTGAGAGGCTGTCGAACTTCTACGAACAAAACTCTTTGTTCTGTTATTTGTGATAATGTTTGTTTTGGCCTTTCCTCTACCTTTAATGACTGTGATCCCAAAGACTGTAACGTGATAAATTTAATTTTCATTTACTTACATGTTTTCACATTAGTATGATGTATGAAATTCTAACTACTTACTTTACTAAGTTTCTTTGTTGCCAATCGGGAAAAGTATTTAGATGTGTACTTCTAGCTGTGATTGTGTTTATTTAATCGAGTACTGTAGATCGTACTTATAATGACCATGTCGCGTTGAGAGTCGATCAATTGTTATTATTGTTAATAAATAATATTTTAAATTGTGATCTAAATGCAGCATTCATTGAAGTTACTGTCGAAACGCTCCGCGGAAATCGCCAGTAAACAAATAGAGGATGAATTCGTGTATTATAAGTAACTTTAATAAATATTCTAGACGTTTCAACTTCATCTCGTTTCCGGGGAAACGGTTTAGGGAGATGTGCCAAAGATTTTTATTCGGTTCGGTCCGATTAATATATGACACGTAGAAGAAAGCTTCTCCTTGGCAATGACCGTCTGTTCTAATAAACTCGTAAACGTCGCATTAATTCATTACTCACCCTTGAGAGTTAATTCTGGCTGCTTATATACACGTTCATGATGTACTCCTTGTCATATATAATATCGTTTTAATTGTAAACATTATACTTTATATATATGAACAAGGAGGATTGAATTCTAAACTTAAATATGTAAATAAATAATAAAGCTGTTATAAGATATGCACTCTAGATAAAAAGTGTAAGAGCTCATGAAAATACCGAATTTTCTTCTCGGGAGGAGTCTACTAAGAGAATCTTAATTTGTCGTCGAAAATCCTATACACTTATATTTCGAAGTGTTTTTCAAGTGAAATAAATTAATTATTTTGTGATGTTCTTTTTGCTGTTTGAAACAGATTTGTGATTAGATTGAGTTTATTTTTAAGGTTAATTTTTAAACATATATAGTATAAAGCCAGAGATGAACGGAGTGGTGCTGCAAAGGTTCCGATCAGAGGCAAAACAAACAAACGGATGCAAACTAAATTTTTTGTGATGTGTAATTTTATGACACAAAATCAATATTAACTTGCAGTACAGTACTTTCGTTCCATAACTAAATTTTTGATAATATAATAACATTGTTATGTGTGTTTGTAATTACTTAATGCGACTCACTAAAATAAGCAGTAGCTAATGATATTAATGTGACGAAAGAAATTTATTTTGTTGAAATTCTAGTATACTTCAGATACTCGGAGTACATAAGTCTCTTCATCATGCACTCGATGTTTCTAACATGTTTTTTTTTTCTTATTCCTTTGTTTATAACATAAGCGTATTAGTATGTTAATTTATAAATTTGAAACAAAGGACTATATGTACCTACATCTAATGAGTCCGTAGTACTTATATCCGATATTGTATCGAATAACCTGAGCGACCTTATTACTACCGTTAGTTAGTAAATTAAAACTTTAAATTGTCAACGGCTTTAATTATTGAGTTAATATGAGCCTGGCAGCCAGTCCGTGCTTCATCATTTGATGAGATTCTCCACAATGGTATGCTTTCCGCTTGTCTCAAGGGATCCCTTTGATATCTGGTTCCTTTTTCTGCTTAAACAGAAGAAAAGCATTTTTTCCGGGCACTTACGAAAAATAGGTTTGGATTCCTGCCAAAAAGGCAGATTAATTCTTTGTTTAAGGAGAGTGCACCTAAAATTTGTTTAAGAGCGCTTCTAACAAGAAAACTGCATATACTTTTTGGCACTGATTTTACAGCGAATGGGGGTCAATCATGAATAAAATAATTCATATAGTAATACCATACAAATTCATGAATTTTATATTTTTTACAGCATGGTTGTTAATATGCATGTGTTACATTTAAACTCACTTCCAAATTAAGTTCTTTTGAATTACTGTTCATTTATTTTTTATAGAATGTTTATATTGCGTCACAGTCATATATAGAGTCTATGTAGATATGGACGTAATTCTAATTATATTCTTCAATAGTATTAAAAAAAATTTTCTTTTTCAGGTAAGCTTCATCGTCTTCATTTGAATACTTGTAAGTAAATCATTATTGTACGTTGTATGTCTGTCTGTATTTTACGTATTTTAACATTAGTCGTGAAGTCAATGTTTGGGGTCAAATAAACCCATGACGCTAATGTCGACCTTATTTTAATCCAGGTCCTTGTATTACCGATCTTAATTTCCAATGCGCCGTGTTTCCTGTGTACTGTTTATACACAATTGTTTAAAGCGTACATTTCTCACGCGATCAAGTAACATTTTAACTTCTCAGTATGTTAATGTTGGTAACGTTTAGTTTTATTTATAGATTTAGAACTTTTAATGCGGTCATATTAATTGCTTTTCCGAGTACATGTTCATGCAGTTCCGAGTTCATGTAGTCGGTTGAACAGAATTTGTTTCAGACATCAAAATAATCTTTTAAGACTGATGTAAGTTGTTGACGTCATCACGTTCATAGCGGCGTCTGTCCCATCTTTATATATTTCGTATATGTAATTAGTTTATTATATTATTTCCCCTCCTCTTCACTAACTGTATCGCTCGTAATACTTCCATGTGAGCCGAGCCTCGTTCCCGCCGCGCCGTTCGTCGAACTTGTCACAATTATTTCTTTTATTTTAAATCCGAGTTCATTGATTTCTGGAAACCAAAATATAAGGTTCAATACTCTCTGAGGTGTAGTAGGTATTAATATTTCACAATACGGTCAACGGACATCTAAATAAACAAATATTTTTAAATGTATTAGATACCTATATATCTGTTGTAGATCAAAGCTATAAGTTTAATATTGTTAAATAACAAACAAAGTTGATTGTTATAATAAATGAAAGTCACATATAAATAAGATAAAACTTAAGATTTAAGGCATCACAGACGGAGATTTCCGTTGGCTTGTTTTGGTGATTTCATAAAGGTTTTATCTGTTTCCTGTATCCGTATTTTCCGGCTCTAGTACAGGATATAATATAATACTATAGTATAAGCAAATAGATGTTATATAAGAGTTGTATACAGCGAGGGTTTTTAGAGAGCGTTATTTAAGTTCAAGGTGGGTTACGATCAATGAATGTCACGGTCACTGGCGGCTGGGGTCGGGAGGTGTGCATGTGAGGTTCGGAAAGACGAGGAACCTTGGAGGTTGGAGATATGACTGAGAGTGATAAGATGTACATGATGCACTACAATGAGATAAGGGGATAGTTGAAACATTTATGTTAAATGGTAGATGTCCAGGCAATCTGATACGTCACGCCATATATATTAGGCAATTATTCGTTAGGTATTACTATCACGTTTAAGTACGATATACAAGATTATATTAATTAGTTTTTAGGTAAAGGTATAACAAACGTTTCAATTTTAAATCTCACTTCATTCAACTCATCAATCTCATAAATTTATTAATACTTTAAATTATAAACACATTCACAAGTTTATGTATATACATATATGCTCTTTATAATTGTTCGTCTTTGAAGCGAAAATACTAAAAGCCGCTAGACTCAAAACCTTATAAAGGAATTATTGTCTTAAAATATAAGAGAAGATAAGTTTGCAAATTTATTGTAATTTTAATAAATTCAATGAAACAAAGAGTCACAAAGTTAAAAAATTCTCGCTGATTTTGAATGCGTCATTTTTATATAACGGGTCATATAAAAAGATTTTTATTATAATATATATCTTGTATATATATAGTTACGACTAGTGTGACTGTTTTGTTCTAATATGTTTGTCACATTTTCTCACATATCATAGGTTTTCAACGATTTATTTCCTCTTTATATCACGTAACGCACGATCATTATGTGACTAATATTATACGATCATAAATGTTCAATATTTAAACTAACTAAAATAAGCAAATACGTAAAGATTATTTAAAACTTCAGCTTTACAACAAACAAACAACTTATTTTATGGCTGATATTTTTGTATATATTCATTATAATGCCAATTAGTACTGATAAAAATATTGTACTTTCTGTGTGTTATATTAAAATAAATGAATTTAACTAAATATATGTATGTTTATGTATAGCTACGAGTATATGATACACATTGGAGTTTTTTTATTTTTATCAATGTCCGTCTAGTCTAGTCTAACAATTTATGAAAAGGCCGTACAAATTCTGACGGATTGTGACTAGCGTATGTTCTTTATGTAATAAGGAGTACCTAAAGCTGATTTAATTTTAGATATTTTATATACAATTTATTAAGAAAATAACCATTCCGTCCAGAAAAGACTCCGGCACAGAAAAATTAAGACAAATATATAATAATAATAGTGTTAAAAATATCGTCAGTATTCATACAGTGGGATAACAATAATATTATTTTTCATTCCGCAATCAAAACTTTTGCAATGCAGACATGATATACTGAAAATTATATAAAAAACGATGTATCTATGTATGTATTATTCTTATTTTCTGATTATCTCTAATAGACGAGTCGATGTTTGTAAACTGTAATTTTGAATTTTTAAATAATTTAATATCTTTATTTAGCAATAACGCCCTCTGTGTTCATAAACATTCTTTTGGACAAATAGTTTTCGCGTTGCAACAGAGATGGCGTTGTAAATAATCATGACTTTCGATTTATTAAATAAAATATTATTTAATTAGATTGTTATTTGTGCTTATAAAGCCTTAATAACAGAGTCATTGTTTTGTTTTTATTTTGACTTGTATAATAATCCTCTGATCAATTCTGATTATTACAATTATCTATTCATATGCAAACATTTTGTTTCTAGTAGTAAGTATCTGTACATATGCAAACATTTTGTATTCATACGTCTATATACCTTCCACCCCATTCCTCCTGGTCGATCTCATCTCAATCCCCGGTTGTGACTAGCCCCATTTCCCTCTCTAACTGTCCGTTGTGTACTAACAGGGAATGCATCGCCAATCTATTTTCGTGGTGTTAGTCCGGTGGGCCGCATGGTTCATGCACTACATCTATTTCAACTCCCGTATCATGTTTCTGAACTCATCAAATGGGTTAACATGCGCATTTCGTCGTTACCAGGTTTATTGGTCACCCTGAATCTTGGCTCGTCATCTATTCTGCTTCACCGTTGATTACAGACCATTCTCTACTTAGAGGTCCATCTAAACTATTCATTATACGTGGATTTCGTTTCTATATTTTTTTTTCACTTGACAGGAATATTGTGTACAGTCTTTTTGTGGATGTAAGTTTCTCTTCAATAAAATCTCGATTATCTTAACCCTCGTGTATCCTTACAACTGTTAAATACAGTAAAGATACGAAACCGCTGTGAGGTCAATGCCCTGCCGAAGATATTATTTCCTCTTTCGGTAAAGGTCTCGTGCATTAAATATATTTTGAATCTGAGTTGTGGGAGGACGGAACTGGTCTGGATTAAGGATTTTAAAATTGTGAATTTTATTACTTTATAAGATGATTTGAGATGTGCTGATTAATCTACTGGGAGTCTTAAAAAGAACAAAACCTATTGTGTACATTGTCTATGCATTATTGTTTGTCATGTATTCGACCTTTCTATGGTACAAGAATATAGTACAGTAGTAGTAGAACATAGTAGTGAATATAGTATTGATATTGTCGCGTCTCATGCATAACGACCTCCTGAAATTCTCGTGCTCTTAACAGCTTTAGGAAATTTATTTTCTAATATCATGAATCTTTATAAGGCAATGCGAGGAACGAAGGATATCTTTGTATATATCATTATATATACTTCCTCAAACCTTTATTTAAAACTGAAACTGTCATAGTAGGTGCATATTTTATTTAAATGCCACTTCTGTTCTTAATACATAAAATATATATTCTTTTATAACACAACAAAGCGATCTGCTCGTAAAAACTGATTGTTGTAGGTGATTTAAATTATAAAGTTATACGTTAAATCTGTTTTAAAGTATATAACAGTATGAAAACACAGTAACGATCCCCGCTGCCGTGCTTCACGGCCCGTATCTCAGCCGTAGGGGACGTGAATCTTGTAACTTAATTCACGGAAATCTACGTCATGCCATGCATAATGCATATACAAGGGTGTGCTGAGGAAGTTAGGAGCATGTTCAAGAAAGAAATAATTATTCTTTATCTTTATACGGAATAAATTCAGTTTCAATGAGACTTAGCAAAAGATAAAGTGGTCTCTGAATCTTATTATTCCGTTCTTCTGCTCATGAGATACTCGCGGTTGGAAATTACACTCATTAAAAATTTGCGATCTCAGCGAGGATAGTAAAAAGCAACTTAATAATTCTCCACTTGCAGTTTTATAATAGTATTATAATGATAACTCAGTAGCCCCTGCGGGAATAAGACTAGCAAATAGTCATAGATAAATATTTTTGTAACAAATAGATCACATAGTAGATGCTTGTTGAAAATTTTGGATAATTTGTGCTTTAGTTAGAAAAATTATAATATAAAATAAATAATAAACGTAGTTATTTCATTTCATTATACTCTGTTACAAATCTTTTGATCATTATTTAATGCGTTCTGTCACTCTAAATGTAAACGAGTGGTTTTATATGTAAAAAACTACTGATATTAAAATTTTATTGATCCTTGAACTTTATTATGAATTATGTAGCTGATACAATTGTGTAATTTGGTTAAAAAATACATTATATACTTTCCAATATGTTACGTGTTTAGCCTTACAAACGAATATCCTTACAGAGATATAAAATTAAAATAAATTAAGTATTCTTCATATATATAATATGAAAAGTTATTTTAATTAAATATGTATTTAATGTATAATTCAAATTAATTTACATACATATATGATATGATAGAATCTGATAAAATCAACATTCATGACTTGGATTAAAAATTAATATTGCTTTATATATGTATGATAGAATCTGATAAAATCAACATTCATGACTTGGATTAAAAATTAATATTGCTTTATATATGTATGAATACATAGAGTTATATTATATAGGATGAAATACAATTATGTGTTTTGATATCACGTTCAATGAATACAAATAGTGATGAAGGAATGAATGTACATATAAGACAGTCGAGGGTGATACACACTTTACCAAAAACATGATTACCATATGGTTACACAAAGTAATTTTTTATTAGAATTAGTATATAATAATCATTATATACAATGAATTTATTTTATTATGTATTGAATGTTATCGTACCTCGTAATGATAGAGGCGCGACCAAACAAGTTTCGCTCGTTTGTATGTAAACTGTTTTATATCGAACCGTTTCTAGATAAGTCTGTTGTTTCAATAATAATAAATATATGATAATAATGATATACTATCAAAATAAAAATCGGTTCATGTTCATCGGTCACTTGAGTTCTGACACAGTTTTTTTTAATACTACGCATTTTTTTATATATTTTATTACGCATATGTCTTTTGTTGATAATAATATGTTTTAAATGGGTAATTCTACGCGTAATTTTCTGTGAGTTATTTCAAAGTTAGTAATAGATCATACCTGGTATTATTTGTTTATCTCTGTCTTCATGATTCATCATATAAGTCATCGTATGAGATAAACTTGCACCATATTATAATTTGATTACTAATTTAATATAAGTCAGTCTACTTCTATAGACGGAGGTAGTTCATTTCGATTCCCGCTCGTGATATAATCTGCTTCACATGTAATATTTTCATAGTATATAAACTTTATTTATATATAAGATTGTTATGAAGGAAACCAGTCGCAGTGTTATCCATGCAGGTATATTAAAACTACGACAGGACATGACGTGTTAGTGCTATCTAGAGATATGACGTCACACGATACGTCACAATAACATTTAAATAATAAATCGATGGGTTGTACACACGTCACCTGGAACCTAGTAGTATAGTATAGTGTCGTATGGGGTTCATATTAACAATGGAGAGGCTCGCTAGTTACATGATGATTGTAAACAATGACGGAACGAATAGGTCAGCGGACTTCGTTATCAGTCAGGAGACGGACGACTGGTCGCTCACGGCTCACGGCTCACGACTGACGAGGACGGTGAGCCAGTAACAAAACAGTCGTGGAAGTGAACGCACGTCGGTGTGGTGCTGTGGATATTATTATCATTATTATTGAAAGTGTGTGATCAGCTGACAAGGGACGGCGAGCGAGCGTGAAGATGGGTCAGGCGTTCGGGACCAACTCACACAGCGGCGAACACGCGCATTACATAAGGAAAGAAATCGGTATGGCGTACGTACTAGTGATGATTGAATTGTCTTGTTTAATACCATGCACTGGCGATTGTGAGCCGGTGTTTTGATAAAACTAGCGCGTACAGATGTTTTGGAACATTTAGGTCGTTTGTAACATACTAAAATATACTTTGTTTATATTTGGATGTGTTCATCTTGGTATATATATTAAAGTTGGTCGCAATGACCTCCCAGACACCGCAAACCTGCATCTAGCTGCATAAGAGCCCACACATCCGCACACACTGACACACGGAGCTATTAAACCGGCTCGCTCACCGACACTGGACACTGGACACTAGAAGAACACTATACATGTACCGATACCCCGACTACACTCACAATAAGACGTTAGAAAAACATATAAATGACAAAAAGTTGTTGTGTTACAAATTAGTTTTACTACCTAATATTGTTTTTATATCGGTATAAACAGACAGACACACATCTCTATAGTAAAATTTTATATTGAATTCGTCGGTCCATCATTTCGTAATATTGACAATTTTAAAACATTTTCTTATTTACATGTTACTAACATATTAACGACAATTTTAAAATGACGGAATTATCGGGAACTTTCATGTTTACATTTGGCGATTTTTAATGAGAAAAATGTTGTTACTAGACAACAGATATGAATAAACCTAAATATAATAACAATAATTAATTTTTATTATCTTAATCGTTAAAAAACAACAAGGATTACAGCGCCTTTGAACAAATACTCTTTATGTGAGCGAATCCGGGAGATAATCTAGTGTTAAATACGAGCAGCGTCTGTTATATACTTATTGTTTATATATTCATTAATATATGTTTAGTTTGTTTGTTTGTGTGTTATATCTGTTCCTTTGAATCTTCTCTACTCTCTTATGTCATACAACACTGATCTTTTCTTGTGTTATGTAAGTTTTATAAAGTGTTATTGTGTGAAGTTATATAATATAGCATTAATTGAATTAAAGTTCACCGAACGAACGACGCTTGTATCCTTACCACGTGTACACACGAACGATACTGACTTTATCCAGTTAACACTTAATATTACTGTGGTTATCAATGTTCAGGCAGATTTGTGAATGAAGAACTGGAAAGAGTCAGTTATAACTATAAGAAACTGAAACTAATAGATTGTGTACACAGTCTGTAATTTCAGTTATTTTATATACATTATAATATACATCATACAGACACACATACATACAAATATACTATAAAGTTTTTGGAGACGGAGCAAGTTCTCTCAAATGTCTGTTTTTATTATGTCAAAGTATATAAGTTTCGCCTGTTTTTCCTTTGTTCTATTATCATATAAACCACCCTCGTATGTGACGAGCAGAGTCATATGCTACAACATGTTATTAGGCTCTATAATTAAATGACATTAAGTGATACAGTTTAAAATGCTTGTTAAATAATATTCTAGAACAGTAATTGAGGTCGGCTGTAGGTTGTTTTTATTCTACAATCCTTGAATAGAAGTCATTGGGTTCTTATTAAAGACAGCGAGTGGCTCGGATTGAAATAAATAGTTTTATAATAAATGTTGAACGTTCATATTATATAATGGATATATTTTTATTACATGTGAGGGAATATTAAATGTTGTTTCTTTTAAATTATTATTTTCTCTGCTTAACTTAAAATTATCAATTATAACTTATGTTCAAACTTAATAACTATTTATGATATTAGATTAATCTATAGTGCAATGTTAGTATGTTTGTTACAATGTAAATATCATAATGCCCGATAACCTTTGACCCCATCACTGTACTGATAACAATGATCACAGATCACAACCCACCAAGATCAAGTTTAATATAGTTCCTCATACAGACACAACTTGTATTACTTTATTGTTGAAATACTTTGAGTTTATTCAGCATTGGTACCAAGAGACTGTGTCACACTACATACTATAATGATAGTAGTCGTAGGAATGAAAAAACGTTAAAACTTGGTATAAAAACACCGAAATCATCGTATAGATTCGTATTGAAAATGTTCATCGTTCAAGCTCTACGGTTTTAAAGACAAACATACGTACATATTATAATGAATTATTTTTGTTATCATAATGTTTCCAATTAGTTCCATAGTTTTGGTTTAACGATAAGCTCATTAGTTGATCACAGTCGGATGCAATTTCATTTCATTTCAGTAACATAAAAGCGAACATTTCCCCGTTAACGTGGCGTCTGTGTGTATGTGAAAACACAGAAATTATATCTAAGGAAATACTACATTTATGCAGCTGTTGCACTTGATCCAAATATACTCTAATTTTTGTTCCACGTCCTCGGAATCTCTGAGGTGTCTCATGCTTCACTAGAATGAATACGACTCGACTCAGTGGTAAAAGTAGTTTTTGAGTTGGTTGAGTCAGACGTACACACAATGAAATAGAACCGTCTTTGATGTTCGCCAAGTGTTAGTTATGCGAGTGATACGAATGTCCTCAGTAATCATTTAAAGTGTCCTCAAAATCATGAACAAATACCGAGTGTGTAACGCCATCAACATCGGGTACTCGTACACACTACAATATGTCTGTTCACGGCTGTTTCTAACGCAGTTAGTGCCGATACAATCAAACAATGAACTCGTCAATCGAGAGCCGGGCAAACAAAAACATCCTGATTAACGAAAAGCACGCGTCGTCCGTCCCCGACGCGCGGACACAAAGTCTTTGTCTCCCTCTCGTATTATCGAACGGCCGTGACACCTCGTGTCACTGACACCGCCAGCCTCGACGTGCTCCATGTCGATGAGGCTGCTCCCGTCAGGTGGAGGAGCGTCCTTGAGATTGCAATTTTCCTTCACACTAACCGCTGTGATAACGTGTCATTGACACAGTTCCGTACAATTACCATACAACGATGTGGTCCCATTGTACCGAGCAGCGAGCTGCACCGCGTTTATTGCATATTGAGTTACAAAAACGGTCGCTCTGTTTGCTTTTGTTATTAGCATCATCTAAGAGGGAAATGAATTCATGTGCGAGTCACACTGTGTTAATATTAAAGATGAACAGCTCTCTTAGAATGTATTAAAAATATCAAAACCGAACTATAAATTTTGCTCTTTAATTTTAATTCTCGTTTTAATGAGTCCATTTAGATGATTTTTATATGACGCGGAATGTATAATGAAACATTAAAATTTGTAATTTAATGTGCAGCTTCATATTCATCTTTAATACAATCTTATCGAGTCTAGTCGATTAATAATGTAGAAACATTTGTTTAATGAGATAATTAGTTCAAGGAAATAATACTTCTATAACCGGTATAGAACAATTTTTATTATCCTTTTTTTACATCGGCATAATAAAAGTATATAACGAGCACAATCAATATGATAACTACATACGACGTATTTAAAAAAACAATATTATTGAATGACGAGGTACACGACACAGGCTACGATACGACAAAAATATGCCAAGTTTTTATTCTGCCTATGTATATACATTTGAATAGATTGACCTTGAAAAGTAACAATAATAAAATCAGAATTATAATTGAAAATGATGTAGCTATATACATTATTGTTTAAATACAACCAATGTAAAAACTAGAAGTTTTAAATATGTTAAGTCGTTTTGTTTTTTTATACATCGCCTTACATTACGAAATATATTTGAATTATATTTATTGTACATAACACTGTATAACGTCTCTTTGAGTCTGGTCTGTAACAACTTGTGAACTAAGAAGTTGTTTTTCATCGGACGAACTTACGGACGGTCTGCTTTCATACATACTTACATACAAACGTATATATATATACACATATGTCTGTTAACACAGTTTATAGATACGTTTATTGGACTCCCTCGCAACCAGACGGTTGTGTTAGGAAAAAGCATATTACTTGTTGTTTAGAGTGCATATTATTAAGTAATTAACTACATGGAATTGAAATAATTAGGCATTAATTCAGTATATAAATCAGACCTTATTATGTATACAGTAAACCCGTCTGTAACTGTATGACGTGAGAGATATTTAGTATTGAATCTTGTGATTTTCCACAATTTTCTGTCGAAATGAAGAAGATCTAGTTTGTTCGATATCACTCTCAGTATGATCGTATTAAACAAACGAGTGGTAAGAAATATACGTACGTCACAATTCTCTCTCAAATGTACAATAGAGGAATTTAAACGTATAAGTAAACCTAAATATCCACATTAAGGCGATATTAAAGGTAATAAATAATAAATACGATCTGTTACCTAACCAGGGATTTAGCAGAAAAATAAATTTGAGGTTGTTATGTTTAGGTGTAAAATACATATATGTATAGTATTATGTATTGTTTCAACCTCTCAGTATCAATTTAAATTCATATAACACAAATACTTAATTCGCCAGTCGCGAGTTCACAGGATGTGGTTTGATTTTTATATTTGAGAGGTATCGGAGTGTTCACACGGCTTGTTTTTATACATCGGATTGATGTATGTCTCTCATTTGTAATCTTGATCCGATCACACGAACAATGGATGATGGTTTTCGATTCATGATCAGGATGGTTCATGAAGAATGATGACGGCTATTAGAGTTATATAAAATAAATCAGAATGATGTAATATTAAACAAATCTTAAAGTTTTTGTATATGCTACTGGTTAAACAACCTCGGAGCTTCGTTAGATAGGTCACTCTTAAACATATTGTATACTCGTATTATAAATCGGTCGAAGTCTTTCTTCAGACATTTCCATTTTCCTGCTAATATGTTAATATGTTAAATCCGTTTTTTTATTGTTTTTTTTTTTAACTTAACATCTATTTAAGAGTTTTTAATGAAACTTGTCCATAAAACAGTTTCGATGTACGTACACAAAGGTACTCAATAACTGACACTTATATACAGGAATTACTTCAATATTACACTTATATACCAGTACATAATGATGTTTATTTGAAATAATAAGTTATTGTGGAAATGTATGTTTAAGAGAGGACTTGAACTCTTTTCAAACCCAAAACTTTTAATGAGTGAAATGTAACGACGTATTGAAAATATACCTATTTTATGTGACATAGTGAAGCTGGTTCACGAACTTGGAGCTGGTTGAATAACAAGGTTGGGAGTCTGTACAGACGGACCGACGTCATATAGATAATTTATTAATACATATTATAAACTTAAAGGTTAAGTATTTATAGAATAAACTTTTTATAACTATTAATAATTCTTTAAAGCTATTCGCGAGGACCAATCTCTATATATAGAAATATTTTAATATTTAATTTTGGATGACAAATGTGTTTCCTAACGTAGACAAAACTCTAAATTTATATAAGTTAAACAAGTTCTATGAATATATTAATATTATTATGTATTTAATATTGTTTAAATTATCTTAAATCCGTTTGATAATCTCTAGATATTTCTATCTCTGTGAGATCAGACGATTCAAAGTCCTGTTTTTAATATTATTAACGTGAAATGTTTCGTCTCGCTTAAAATAAATGTGAACAACATGGCTTTCACTGACTTTAATGTGTGTTAGTAATTTGATTGGCTCCTGTAAGTGTGTTAACTATACGTCAAATAGTTCTCTATGTAGTTTTTACTGGTATTAAGTTAGTTCTATTCGATCAACTATTTCGTTAGTTGTATGTGACTCGTACTACATATATACTTAGTTAGCCTGTACTGAACATGTTAATAATTATAATGTGTGTTGCTGACGGTACTCTGTGATGTTACACACGACTCGCTCTCACTGTGAAACTATTCGATTAAAGGAGATGACTATATTATAAAATTTAACATTTAAATTCACCTATTTAACTCAAATTATACTTGGTAGAATAAAAAAATATTAATCAAACGAACTTCTATCGTATAAATTACATTTTATCTGATCATTCGATGAGTTATTTTCAACCGTTTCATTATTGACCGTGCTCCCGGTCAATCTCTGTCCTATTTCATCAGGGTGTCGATATGTCCGGGTATGACCCGCTGACCCCCGGGCAGAAACGGTGGCGCCACCCTCAGGAGATCCATTAGACAATTGAAACGTTCAATGTAACTTGATTCTGAAGATAATGACGTCATAAGTACATAGAATACATACATATATGTATGTATACGTCATTGTAAACAAATTATTATTCAGAATTCATATTTAATACCGTGGTATCAAGTCTCAATAGGTATTAATTTTTATTTGTTTTCAGGTAAATTCGCAAATTTCACACGATAGTTTACATTATCTCTGTGTTGATTGTGGTTTTGGGTCAGAGTAACGTACGGGTCGTTGAACTGATAATAATAAAAATACTTTTATTAAAATATATCATTTGATAGTCTTGTTTATTTTGTATAATATTAAGTAGTTGCTTTCATATTATCCACTTCTATTTTAATTATGAATTTAATTATTCATTTTATATAAAACTTTGTTTAAATATAAATTATAAGCATTTGGTAGGTCAAGTCTCAAATCTGTTTTGTTATTTGTAATAAATAAACTATGACAATTATGCTATTTATTTAAATTAACAAAGGTAATTTCATGTTGTGGTTAGTTAGTTAGTTATACATATATCAGTCTGTCGTATTTGCAGCGTTGTGAATCATATATTTATTAATATTCTTATACTGTACTCTGTGACCGCCTCTATAGTAAATTTTCTATAATAAATATTTTAATATACGCTTTATTAGTAACGATACGAGTTCGTCGTTAACATAACAGCCTTATCGTTCATATTAATACAGCCAGAACGTAAATATACAGTAAACAGGGGTATTATGTAGTTTAACAACCTCACTTTATTTTTTTATATAAAGATATCCTTTACTTAGGTCCAATATGTATATATAAGCAATTTTAAGCTGATACTTGATTTGGAATTCATAAAATGAAAGATTCCTCGATATAATCAAGATTGTAAGCAGCATACTGGGATGTGTTATGCAAGATGTTGCAAGTACCGGCATTGTTAGTGTTGCTGAATTTTCTATTTCAATTCACATTTATCACATATAGCATAAACATATCCATAGGAAGCTCGCCTCCACTATCACCTTATTCAATATGTAATATATAGAAAATATTTTTATATTAATTGTCCAGTCTCCTCCTTGTTTTTCATCGTAACAACATCGCATGTATAAAGATCATTATATCTTAATGATACTCCCGCTAAGACTCTTGTAATTATAATAACTATTATGAATATACATACACATGTAATTTTTATATTGCTCAGATTTTATTATAACTCCTCAGAAACGTATGGCTCTATAGAAATGTTTACACAGACTTTGCTAGTGACATTTTATATATATTTGTATATATGAATACATATTATTAATAATAATCAGGGTAATGAAAGCGTTTTACTTAGTTATAATAATAGTTTATCTAATTGGTTTATCTCTACGTCCATTAACTTTGTATATTCTATGAAAATAAGACTTAATATTAGACCGTATTTGTTTTTATTAGAGGGAAACGAAGACATGGAAGTATTTTTCGTAAAGAGAACAGAATTTTTGTTCTTATTCTATATAAAGTATGTATAATTAATGTATAAGAATTCATTTTCACGACCAGGAATCGAACTGGCGACATATGAAATAGGGTATCAGTATAAGAGACGAGTACTCCACCGTACACTTTATATAATATTTAAATTGATTATATTCCAAGTTAATGACTATTTTTGCTAAAGCTTGCTCTTATTAAAATAAGTAGGAGTAGATTTTGTTAATAAATTTTCTTATAATAAAGTCTAAGACTTTCGCGAGTATTAATTTATATTAAACTAATATTTCATAATAACTTGTTATAAAAAGACCAACTGACAGACATTCACATTTCGTGTGCCCGTGATCACGTTTGCTGAAAAGCAATCGCAGCATTGGGATTATGTGGTTTTTACAATAATCAAATACTCGTAAACATGTTAAATTAATTCATATTTTCTTATATTAAAATAATAATTAATACTATCTTAAAGTTTTTATCAGTTGCAGACAAAGTGCATGTGAATTTAGTATTATTCTCAGTTATTTATGTATTTTTTCAATAACAGACATTTGTTATCTTCACGTGGTTCAAGAGGAATTTTTTTCAACCTCTCAAAGATATCATAAGTGTGGAGATAAAAATATTAAAATAGATTTTTCTCATGTCAACTGTATATAAAGTAAATCCAGTAAATTCCGTAAGTTTGTTTTCTTCGGGTTATAATATTATTTGGCACAAATGTCTGCTTGGCTGACTGGCTGGTTGGCTGGCGGGCTTTATTTTATGGAGCCAATCAATGTGCCAAATGAGTATAACAATTAATTCAATAAATTACAGAAGAGTGGACGGTTAGATTTTCATGGTTTAACTTAAGCAGCTATATACGAGTATTATTTATATCGACACTATCTGCTTTAATAACAGATGTGACATGAAAATAACTTGAACCTGCCATCACTTCTTATAAAAACTCATTCGTATTCATGATTATTGTTAAAAGTAAAACGAAGTCAAAGATTGTTTAAAAGGATAATAGAACTATGTTAGGGTTTTGGTATAAATATGACGTCTAGACGTCTTTGAAGATTGTGATAATTAAGAACCTTCGAGAAATACAAGAACATTTAGAATAATAAAAAATATCATGGAACGTACTGGAAGAAGTGATATTAATGACGTCAGCGAGGCTGGCTTCTCTCTCTCTTTAAAAACAACGAATTTATATTAAATTCGATATATCTTATATTATTGTAAAGTTAGTAGTTTTTAAAAGAGAAAGTACATGACATGTGCACTGTGACTTCCCCCGTTGTTATCGATCAACCAGCTGGCCTTCGTGTGTATATTGTATACGACTCAAGTGTTCTGGAAATATACATGTACAATTGTATTAAATAAAAACTCACTACATTTAATTAAATTGGTTTTACATTGAGAGATATGTGAAAGGTGAATTAATATTGAATATTAATATAAATTGGAATAAACTTCACTGACTGTTTAATATTATGACTTTAATTTTATAAATTTACTAGCTTTCCGCCAGCAGCTTCGCCCGCGTGGAGTTCGGTTATGTCGCGTTTCCAAGAGAACTTTTCAAAAGTCTGGCATAAAAACTATCCTATGTTCTTTGTCAAGGTCAACTCTATCTCTGTACCAAATTTCATTAAAATCAGTTCAGTGGTTTAGGCGTGAAAGCGTAACAGACAGACAGACAGAGTTACTTTCGCATTTATAATATTAGTAGGGATTACATATATTTTTTACTGATATTATTTTGGTCACATGAAGTAGATGTAATTTCTTTAAGCGCTTATTACAACAATAAAACAGTCCTTTTTTGTCTCTTCATCACAGTTTTATATATATAGTCAATCTTTTGTTAATGTATGACAGATATTGTAAATTCAAAGTAACCTTGACGTTAAAAAAACAACACAAGTAATGTTTTCGGAGCATAATGTAAAATGAAAGTAATCATAATATTGATAAAGAACAATTAATATGAAACGAGCTCGGTACTGACCTTATTACATAAACTTTAACTAAACCAGTTGTGACGTTAAGTAACTTTCAGTTTGGAGTTACAATATCGTTGTTTGAGAGTTTGTATAGTCGTACATTAAAAATAAATAATGTTACAGAGATATAAAGAAGATCACATGAAGAAAACAACGTCTACTGATAGGTTACGTATTAAATAATCGGTCTCAAATCACTCATAAGTATATTTAATATGAATATTTTAATACTGAAAGCTATCTGCTTCTGAAACATATGTTTTTTGTTTCAAGTCATCGAGTGTTCGTTGTCTTTTAAGTTCATATTCTACAATTTTCAATACAACGGTTTAGATGCAATGCTCGTCGTTTCAATATATTTTAAATCGACCCGTTCACTGAGTATTGCTTGCGAGCAGCTTGATTTGTTCTTGGAAATACCACCAGCTTATATAATCCTCTTAATGATATAATTTATCCGTGAGAACCACCTTCAGGCTTCAGACGGTCAAACTTCACCAACATTCAGAAAGGATTTTAATATTAAAATACGCATAAGTTCAATGTATTTCTTAATAGTTGTTATCGTGACTCATATGAAGTTAAGTCACGTGACAAGTACATATGTTGAACATCTCCGTGGGGATGAATAAGTTTGAATGTGTGGACTGTGTCGGAACAACTGAACTCTCAACGGGTGTTGAAGATGTTTTAAATATAATTCTAACTTCATCAAGAGTTCTTGATGAAGTTAGAATTATATTATATAGTTGAACTGAACTGAACGTTTCCTACAGTCGATACTGTTACATGTTTAATTTATGAAATGTTTAATAATTAATTAAAGTAACATTTGTTACAACTGGCTCGTAGTACTCTACTAATATAACTCGTTGTTTATTTACATTTCCGTGTTTTTCATTCGTTATCTCTGTTTGATGTATTTGATAAGACAACATGTAGCGTTGATGTTTATCTGATTTCCCGTTAATTGATTAATTATTATTATTATTACAATATTTATATCAAATAACGTATTATTGTTATATATTGATTTGGCTTTCAGTGAGATAATCTAACATATATGGATATTAGTTAATAGTTGTATAAGTTGAAAATGGTGGCTTTACTTTTTACCGATGTCTTATTAAATTTCTAGTGGTTAAAGGTCCGCCCCTCATGCATGAGATCGCGGGATCGATCCTGGCAAGTATCAATGTTTTCGAGTCATATGTACTTTCTAAGATTATTTAGGCACCACTTACAGATGAAGGAAAACATCGTGAGGAAACCTGGTCTTATAATTTAAAATTTTAGTTTGAAATCACCAACCCGTCTTGTGCGAGCGTGGTGATTGATGCTCAAATCTTCTCCATGTGAAAAAAAGTCTTTGCTCAGCAATTGGCTCTGATAGCCTCATGATGATGTTTTTAACTTTCTATGTACAGTGTATTAATATTAAAACCATTAATTTAAATAATTTAATAGTATCGTTGTTTACGTCTGTTTTAACTGGAATTAAGGAA